TGGTGACATCTTCACACATCGCTCACCTTGACCTACCATGTCAGTTGCTTTCTTGTACTCCGCTATTCGATAGAAGTTTAGCGCGTTGTTTAATTATCTCACGCGCAATCCTTGGGGTCAAAAACTCTGCTCAAATGGCAACTAATTTATCAGAGCCACCATGCTAAACGAATGTCTTTGCGTGAATTCGTCTGCATAAAATATTCTTTTTGTAAAATGTGCTGCAATCTCGTCACCGAGAGCAGGCTTGTTGATGTGTGCAATTGTTATCGAAGACAATGTACGCAGTTCAACGGGAGTGCCAATTTGTGCTTTTGTGAGGCTGCCGGCGGCCATTCTGTTTGTGCCGGTTGTCAAGAGAGTACAGTCGGTATTCACGTCACGTCACATTGCCTATGCATTTAATTCACTAAACAAGTTGGTTTTCCTATCAACAAGTTCACGTAGCCACGAGGGAGAAACCGAATAATTAGACTTTGTCAACTACTGCTGAGTCTTACTTGTGGAGGTGTAGAAAATAAACCTGGCAACTTCAATGATGACAGGGGAAATTGCAAGCGCATAAGCCATATCTGGTGGACGTTTAGTCCCGATAAAGTAGGTTAGTTTTTGCGATGACCTGGATTCATCGTGCACAAAATATGGACTTGACGAACTCGCCTTACAGCAACACAAAATGTCATTACTTTCACGCATTCATGAGGAGGCAATTTAATCGGTGGGCTGTGTCAACCATTGCGAATGTAGTTCGTGGCGGCGTTGATAAGGTGTCACAGTGTGGTAGGAATGTGTATGAGAATGCATGGCAACAATGTCCTACCAAATTCAGTTGAGGTTACACCTTCATTGCACGCCGCCCATGTGAAGGTATTGTGAAATGGGCAAATAAGTGAGCAAACGCGAAATCTCCTGACCGGTGTTGGAACTTTAGAATTCCTTCTGAGAGGTTTATTAGCCACATGTACGCGTAGGATGCTCCATTTCTTGGTCTAATTTGACATAACAAAGATGGAGTCAAATTTGTTCCTTGTGGGGGTTAAAACCATGCGATTACTGCACTTGTTTATTCGGAAAATCCAAGGTGACGTTTTAGAAGCCGGACAACCAAGAATAATCCATTGGGAATTAATTTAAATGACCAAGAAATCAATAAAATTAAGTACTTTGGTTGCAGTAGTCTTTAGGGAACGATGCGTACATAACTTAAAATTCAAGACATGTGGCCTCGAATTAGCCAATAGACATTGGGTTAGAAGGAGGATAAATCTAACAGAAGTTACTACAAAATTTATAACAACTGAACTACCTTTCTACCCTTAGACATTAATTTAATTCGCGTAAACAATGCGAAATGTACATGTTCTTCTTGTTTGATCTCACGACTTGCACTTGCGATTCTAGCTCTGTGGCACTCAAACATCGTTCACTCAGTCAGTAGCTCTGCACTGCACATCAGTAGATGCAAGCATTCCAGACACTTGTTACTGCACCGGTCATGTTGACTGGCATTTCCGGTTTTGCCACGAAACAGACACGTACCACTACGCTCGGCCAAGACAGCCTCGTGGCAACTCCGCACTGCCTGTATAAAAAAACAGGGACAGCATCCTACTTTCGTATTTACCTTCTACGTGGACACATTCGTACCTCCTAAACCAACATGTCCAAGCAAGGCTCACCTTGCTCTGCTTAAGATGTGAGTTTATAAGTACCATTGGCATTAATGCGATCATTGTGCGTGCAAAGATGAGCTTCAATTGCAGTGGCTTCGAGTTGAATTGGTGCTGTGGTGTTGATGGTTATCGAATGAGGGAGGGAAATGGAAGACTGGTGAGCTAGATTCGGGGTCATTCGGTAGGTTATGCACATGTGATTTTCAAAGCTAATTACTTTAATGTCCAGATTATATAAAAGATCGGATTGCCGGTAATCTTGGCTCGTCTTACAAGTTCAAACGGATGAGCCTGTGCGTGCCTGTTGCAGCATCACTGGCATTTAAGGGGATTAACCTCATCGAGCGAACAGGCAGTAAATCGACGCTGTTTTGCAGTAGAATACATTGGATGTCTGTGAATCACGAAGACAACTATTTAGTACTGCTTCAAATATTTTTTGATATTAAAAAAAAAGAAGACTGTTTCAATTTGAACTTTTAAAATCCAATTTCATGCGGCTAGGTGCAGCATTGAATTAATCTGACGAAACAATTTTCACTGACACACAGATTCAATCCGTGGTGTGTTTGTGGATATATTCACACAGAAGTGCAAGAAGTGAACACTACGTTGGTCTTCTTAATCGATTATGTTTCCTTACTAACTCAGAGTGGTCCCCTCTCGTCCTCCTACATCAACGCCTCCTACGTGAGACCACCCAACTACACGGCGACAGGCGCTGCCGTGGCGTCGAGTCAGGACACCCAACCGGAGTACATTGCAGCCCAGGGTCCACTGCCTCACACCGTCGCGGACTTCCTCACGATAATCTACGAACAGAGGTGTCCCCACATCGTCATGCTCTGCAAGTAGGCTTGCTCCACAGCACCACTTTTGTCAGCATTTGTGTGCACAATTACACTCACATGGACTGTGTTTGCGCTTGCTAGCACCAAAGGGGGAACAACAGCCCGAAATGTGCCAGATATTGGCCTGCCCAGGCCACAGAAACATTTGTCTCCGATGGTCGAAGTGTTGTCGTGACCAAAGTGGCAGAGCAGATAACACCAAACTTTACCTACCGTGAATTCACAATTCTGCCATCGGACGAGAAGGAGGTGAGTTTGCTACAATAACTCATTAGCGATGGGCAAGCGCATTTGAAGCAGCCTCTCTCAGCTGCGACATTGCATATTATCAGTTGCGTTGAAAGTAATTCGAAATATCTCTCACAACAACCTTAGTGGCCAACATCTAATGCGGTTAGAACGGTGATTGTAAGGGCAAATAAAGTTCCACCAAGAGTGGATGCGGTTGTCCATTCCACCTAATTCTACATCATTTAGTTTGGATCCCAATGCAGGTGAATGGTTTGCTGGTGTTGGACATCCCACCAAAGGACTGCCAAAAGCGGTGTCTATAATGCTATTGCATTTTCATTCAGATCTTTGTTCGCAGTTTGTCTTACTGAAAATAAACAAATTCGTCATTAGCAATTTGTAAATTTCAGCCATGGCCAGTTAAGCAGATTCACTTCACCCTCTGGAACGATTATGGAGCACCTCCAGTTGAGCAGATATACGCAGTCATCTTGAAGCACCTCTCGTTTTTGGAACAAACGCCGATTGGCTCCTATGGTCCCCCACTTGTGCACTGCAGGTAGGTTGGAGGGTAGGTGTCCATGTCGCACACACTCTCGATGTCAGGGTGAAACAGCTTCAAGCGCACTCCCTCTTGTATCCTATTAGCGCTGGCGTGGGGAGAACCGGAACCTTCATTTGTGCTCGCTACATACTCGAGCGACTGCGCAAGGACGCCTCAACAATCGACGTGTTCGGTACTGCACTGGCCGTTCGACGCTGGCGAAAGAGCCTCGTTCAAACAGCGGTACTCCGTGGTTTTATCTTTGATTTCTGCTACAAAATATGATTTTTAGCCGTTTGGAACCTTTGTCGCGTGCGGTATCTTTTGCTATGTGATGTAACCGCAAAAAATTCATCGCAACTTCACTGAATCTAGACTTGAATTGTTAGTTCTGACGCTTTAAACTGTGCTTAACAGGCGGCTGTAATTGTGGGCCTTGGGGCAGTGCTGGTACCAACGACTAATGCCTATCCTCAAGTGCTGGGTCTGTTGGATTCCAGAGCCGTTTTCTCTAATGGAAGTGAGCGTTTTCCACGGGTTTAACTCCTGTCACCGAACCTAACACTTGCCTGATTTACATGGCTACTTTTAAGATGTTAAGTAGAACTCGAACTCATGCGTTTTTGCTCACCAGATCTCTGCAGGTCACTTTAACCCATTCTGGTCGATCATGTGGTTAATAAACGCGTAAACCTGTTGCGGTCATTTTGTGTAACCTTGGCACCTTTTAATTCAGGTGCAATTGAATTTCCTGTACTTGTTTGCGGAATACTGCATCGCTCGCGAGGGTATCCAACCTGTTGCTAGGACACCACAAGGTTAGTTTCACTTGTAATGAGAATGCACTAGTTCAAACCCCCAGATCACGTTTTGGCAGCTGCATTAAGCATTGTCATGTTTGTGTTTCTAATGTTGAATAACCTGTAAAATAAAATGCAAAATTAACGGTGGCGATGCTGAGGAAAAGACGGGCGTATGTAGCCTTGTTGAGGCCCTATACCACGCGAAGTACCCAAGGGAGACAGACACGACCGTTTGCTAGATAGCTCCACGACATTGTGTTGTGTTGACTGGTTTAGTTAAGTAGACTAGTAGTAGTTTGGATGGTAACGTGGGTAAAACGGGAGATGGTAGTACATGCCCGGGTGGTGAATGAGCGGGCCGGACACGCCGTGAAAAAGAGATCGCGTGTGTGGAGCTGAGGTGACCGGGTTCGTGGACGTGAAACAACACGATTCAATAAGGGCCGCTTAATAAGACATTCACACACACGCACACACACATAATGACCATGTTTACATCCACAAGCAAACAGCTTAGTAATGCCAAGTATTGG